GGGGTAAGCGGCGGTGAGCGCGGGTGGGAAAGCACCACGTGGGCGGCGCGCACGCAGCCACGGAGTGCCGGGGAAGCCGGAAGCGGACGCGACTCACCCGGCGCGCGGCGCTGGCCGCCCCCCCGGTGCCTCCCACCCTTGTGCGGCTTGTTCTGCTGCTTCAGGGCGCCGGGCCGGTGCGCGGCCACCGCCGCACCGGGGACCGCCATCTTGATACTGCCCCGACACTTCCGCGTCCGGGGCACCTTGCACTTCCGCCCCTCCCCCGCAGTGGTGCTCGCCCACTTCCGCCCCGCTTCCGGGTGTCCCTCCGGCGCACGTGGCCGGGCGGCCCGCCCCTGGGAGGCCCCGCGGCGAGAAAGCGAGGCGAGGGCGGGAGGTAGCGAGACGGTTTTTTATTCGTGGCCGCCCCCATTGCCGCCCGGAGTGACACGTGCCCGCAGCTCGCTGCCCCGGGAGGGGCAGGGGAAGCTGCCAGGAGCCCCCAGGCGCAGCCTGAGTCCGGCGGCAGGTCCCTCTGCCTCAGCAGGGCGATGCGGCTGGGCTGCAGGCGGCGAAGCTTCTCCTTCCACGTCCCAGGCGCGGCGCTGTCCGTGCCCCGCTCCGACGCGGCAGGGTTTTGCTGCCCTGCGCGCGGGCGCGACCCGGTTCAGCTCAGCGCCCTGTCTCAGGTGCCAGTGCAGCCGTTCATGCCCCAGGCCGCGGCTTCTCAGGTGTAGAGCCCGGCTCTGGCGTCCCTGTCGCCCACCAGCCCCCCGGCTGTACTCAGAGAGGCTGGCAGCAGGGACGGGCCCTGGGGTTGGCGGCTGTCCTCCAGCTGCAGGTAGTCCTGAGGACAAGGAGCAGGAGACATCAGCTGGGCGAGCAGCAGCCCCGGCGCTGTTCAAAACACCAGCACTGCACTTTGCTCCACCCCATAACAGTGCGGAAGCAGCTGCAGGAGTCCCCAGGAACCTATTAATCCCCACAGGAGCCTGCTGCTCGCTAGGCAAAGTGCCCCGACGTCCGTCCTGCTGCTGTCCTTTGGAGCCAGGCCTTGCTTGAGCAGGAGCTGTTTGCCGGGAGCCAGCCCCAGCGGGTTAGCGACTACCCCAGACTCCAGGACAGCCCCAAGGCTCTGGGGAGGAAAGTGCAGGGATCAGCAGAGCCTGGAAGGGAGACTGTAAGATCCTTAAAGGGCAAGTGCTCTCACCGCATCCTCCTCCACGATGTCCTCCAGCTCCTGGGCAATAGCAGAGAAGGGCGGCCGTTCACGGGGGTCGTCAGCCCAGCACTGCTCCATGAGCCTGGAACTGGGGCACGCACAGCAGGGAGTCAGGCCCAAGCACACCCCTAGGTTAACAGCTGCTGTGGCCCAGGTCCCAAGTCTACCCCACTGTGCTGGGGCAGGGAGGCAGCCCTGCACCCTTCACGCCCCAGCTGCTGCTGACTGGACTGTGCCATTCCCCAGCCAGGAGCCCCTGGCCGAGGCAGGCAGAGCCAAGGAACACACCCTGCCCTGCTCACATTTGCTGTCTGCATCCAGGTGGCCTGCTCATCCGGTACCCCGAGCACACTTGGAACATCACTGTCTCAGAGTTGTCCAGGTACGGGTATGGGGAGCAGCCTGCAAGGGGAAACCAGGGGGTCACCCACCTGTACCAAGGCTTGCCTTTGCCCTGCCAGTCTGCACAGGGCACAGGCCCAAGCCCAGCCGGGGTGTTATACCCTTCTTGCTGCAGGAAACGGGACCCTGTCCCCTCCTATTGGACTTTCCCCTCCCAGCAGCACAGGGCTATTCCCAAAGTTCCTGTCCTCGTCCACACATCAGCACGTGCACTCACGCTGCTCAAATGGTTGAGGGACCTGGTTCACCACAAAGCCAAGCAAGCGAGAACCGTCAGGGAGTCTCAGCCTCCTCTTTCCCTACTCAGCTGCACCAGGTGACGCAACACTCCCAGAGGCATATGCTGGCCTGCAGCAGCTCATGCAGAGCATGACTCTATGCCCAAGGCTGTTTCCAGCAGGCAGGATCCCAGGAGAGCTGCTGTGCTCTGGGTATCGCACCCTGCACGTGTGTGTGCGTGCACATGTGCACCCCCCCAATGAAACCCAAGTGGGGCCCAGCTCTTGGAGCGATACCTAGCATCTCCATCTCCCACAGCACGATCCCAAAGGCCCAGACATCACCAGCCAGGCCATAGACGCTCTCTCGGAAGTACTCGGGGGGGTACCAGCGCAAGGGGACCTCCACCTGCAATGTGGACAGCTCATGGCAGGGGAGGCAGGAGCATCGGAGGCCAGCACCAGTTGGGAGAGCTCGGCTCAGAGCTTGGTCCACCATCCATGCCTGCCTCTGCAGAGGCCGAGATGCAGCCTCCTACCTTTGGGTGCCGGAGGGAGCCCTCATGGCCCAGCTCCCTGGCCAGCCCGAACTCAGTGATCTTGCACCCATGCGGGAATGCACTGACCAGGATGTTGCGAAGTGCTAGGTCCCGATGCAGCACCTGTGGGGACAGGCCAGGGCCAGCGTATGAGCAGCTGAGTGAGACCTTGCCTTCTGCTCCCTGCCACCCTGCAGCTCACCCAGACTTGTGGGTTCCCCTGAGCTGTGGACCCACCTGCCGGCACTTGCCTGCTTGTCGGCGATGTGCTTCATGCCCAGGGAGATGTGGTAAGCCACCATGGTGAGCAGAGCCTGCAGGTCCCCACAGCTGCGCAGCTGCTCCCGGCGGGAGCGGAGGAAGGTGCGCAGCGTGCCAAGGCCGGCGTGCTCCAGGATCAGCACATAGGGCTCTGCAAAAGGAGTGGCAGCAGGTCAGTGCCACATGGACCCCAGGCTTAGCAGCGCGGCCCCAGAGCAGCCGCTGCCCTTCGCACCCCATTGCTGAACCAAGGCACTCGGAAAGGCCCCATCTGCTCCTCCCTGCAGTGAGGGGTGGCTCTACCCTGCTGCCAGCAGCCTTGGTGGCTCATGGCCTACCTGACATAGAAGCAGCATCCAGGGCCTTGCAGGCCTCTGTCCTCACCTGTGTCAGGCGAGGCAGGGCTGGGCAATCTCCCCTGGATGGACAGGGCCCAGAGACCTGTCCAGGGTCACCTGGGGACCCTATGGCACAGCAGGGTGTCACAGCATCGGCGGGAAGAGCTGGGCTCCCCTCCTCCTCCCCTTACCTTGCTCCATATTCCACTCCAGGAGCTGCAAGATGTGCTTGTGGTAGCCCAGCGTCGTCAGGATCCTCACCTCCAGCTCCATTCGTGCTGCCGGCAGGCCTGGGGAAGCCATGGGCACATGGTAGGGGCTGAGCACAGCCACCCTCAGCTGTGTGGGTGGCCAGTCCTGCCCCCATCCACTACGTTCTGCCACCTCTCAGGTGCTCCCGCATCCCTGGCGCAGGCTCCAGAGTCCACAGCAGTGCCCTGGGCAGCTTGCTGGGCTCGCTCTCTGGATGGCAGGCCCAAAGCGGGGACGAGCTCTGCCCAGCACTGGCACTTGTGCTGCACCTCCCACCCTGGTGCCCAGCTCAGCCCTGGGCTGGGGGCTCTGGAAGAAGGAGAAGACGGAACCATTTCCTCACCCCGGCGCCCAATCTTGCAGGTGACCAGCTTGTGACCCCGGCGGCTCCCAGTGCTCAGCCTGGCGCGGTAGAACTGGCCGTGCTTGCCATCCTTGATCAGCTCCATGAGGGCCATGCCCTGCAGGGCACGGGCCAGGCCCTGGAAAGCACAGGTCAGAGCACCTGCATGGTCTGCCCACCCCACACGGGGCAGAGCACCCGTGTGGCCTCTTGCTGCTGCTGCTGGGAGGGTGCTGGCACTGCTGCAGGGCAGAACACAGCGGGGGAGTGGCCGCAACCACCTCCACGCAGATGGCAGAGCTGTGGGGAGCCATCTGGAGCAGCAGCAAGATCTCTAGGGTCCAGGTTTCTGCAGCAGCCAGCTGCAGGCCCCAGCTTGGACTCACCTGCTTGTGTCTCCACATCTTGAAGGAGGTGCGTGCCTCCCTCAGCGGGTGCCATGCACCCCCTGCCAGGGGCCTGGAAGCCCCCTGCTGGCACCCCCCCATGATGGGCTGGATTTGGGGAACCCCCACTTCGGCAGCGCGGATGTCATCCTGGCTCAGGTGCCTGCCTGAAGTCCGGCAGTGCCTGGGGGTGAGAGAGACTCCAGGTGACCCTGGCGCCTGCCCATCCAAGGCAATGGCAGGGAGTGGCAGCACTGGGCTGCTGAGGGGTGTCCTGCAGTGGATCCCTAGTGCAGAGGCCAAACTGGTGGCCAGGAGCCTGTGCTCTCTGGAGCGAGAGGGCAGCAGGCAGACACAGGCAGACCTACCTCCTGCAGAGCACTGCAGCAGCCACGGACAGGCCCAGCAGGACCACAACCACAGGGGGGATGATGTAGGGGCAGAGGGCAGAGACTGGTTTTTCCGGGGACCCACCTGAGGACGAGCGGAAACAGCTTTGCAGTTGCAGTCCCACAAGAGCTCACGGCCCAGACCCAGCCTTCCACACCCTCCTCCCCTGACACCTTCAGTGCTGCACACTTCCCACGACTCCAGGGCCAGCCCATGAGGTCTCTGCCCCTGGCAGCAGGAGCAGGCCCTAGACAGCATGACGGCACTGCACTGGTGGCTGGCCTTACCCGTGCTGGGCGACTGCTGGGTACTGTCCTGGGTCGCAGGGTTGAGCAGAGCCAGGGTCTCAGCTGTGGGGCTGGCGGAGGAGAGGGAGGACCCCGCGCCCATGGAATTCCCTGTCACTGCTCTCTCATGCCTGCAAGCAAAGCCCGAGTCACAAGTCACATCCCCTGGGCATGCACGTGTGGATGCAAGAGCCTGCCCGGGCCGTAGCACGCAGGCACGACCAGGCCTAGGTGAGGTGGGATACAGATGATCGGACCAAGCAACCAGCATCAGGGACCCTGTGCAGCCAAGCTTGTCCTCTGGGCCATGGGGACAGCCATCCCTCTAGGCTGAGCAGGGCTGACTGCATGTACCTGGGAAAGCCCTGTCCACGGTGACATGGAAACTCCCCCAGGGCCCCCCAGCACCGAGGAGACTGATGCAGCCGCTGTGCCGTGGCCACAGAGCAAGTGACTCAATGCCTGTCCTCAGCCTCCCACACACTGAGCTAGTCTGTCCTCCTCCCTCAGAGACCATGTGGGGGCTGCCTGGTTCCTCCTGGCATGTCCCGGGCCAGGGACCCTGGGAGTTGGGGGGGACCTGCTGTCCCAAACAGTCATGGGAGAGGCAGGCAGGTCCAGCCACAGCATCCGTCAGGCAGCCTGAGAAGCACCCAACGCTCGTCTCCCTAGCCCATCAAGGAGACACAACCCGGGAGAAAGGCAGAGGACCCTCAGGATATGAATAACCCCCCTGGCAGGGGAGGCCCGGTGCAGGGGCCCTGTGGAGCTGACTGCCCCATGAGAAGGGAGCCCCTAGCTCCTGCATGGACTGTGCCACTGGCTATGGGGCAGCGCTGGCAGGACCTTGCAAAGGCCCTTCCAGCAGCCTGAGGGCACACAAGCAGCACACCTGTCCCCAGGTTGGAGAGGGAAGCAGTGCTGGACAGCTCACCTGCAACCCCTCTGGCCAGCTGGGCAAAGGAGCCTGCTGGAAGCAGGGAGCCGGGGAAGCAGGGTTCATCCCCAGTGCCCAGCAAGACTAGCTCACGAGCTGTGAATCCCTCAGGGGCTGTTGGGAGAGTCTGACGCCTCCCCAGAGAGCGGAAAAACAGCTTTGCAGCAAGGACCAAGCTGTGACTCACCTGCCCATCAGCGCCTGGCCTCAGCCTCCCAGGCACCTCTGCATCTGCGCTTCTGCGTCCAGCCCAGGAGCATTTCTTCAGCATGCCTCACGATGAGAGGAAATGGGGCTGAGGTTTTGCTGTGCTGTTGTCCCCCAGCTCGCAGCCCTGCTGCTGTGGGGGAAATGCGGCCGTCTGACTGGAACAGAGCTGGGCTTCCTGTGCCGTCTGCCTACCGGGTGTTTTTCTGAACTCTCAGCGTACCCGCTGCCACTAGCCAGCCACCTTCCTCCGCGTCCAGGACACGTGGGCCTGCGGGGGCCCTGCCTTCCAGATTCGCTCTCGCCAGCTGCTGTCTCAAAGGCTCTGTTCTTGAACTTGTTACAGGGCTGGGGTCCGCTTCACGGGCACCTCGTCTAAGGGCCACAGCAGTGGTCTTTGGTTCTCCCTCCCTGCAGTCTGGCCGAGCTGACGGCACTCAGAGAGCAGACTCATTTCTGTCCATGGCCCTGCTTATACTCACCTTCCAGCCACCGAAGGAACGACTCCCTTGCTCCCAACTGCAGGCCAGGAGCTTGTTAAGATGTGAAGCACACAGGACTAGAAGGGACCCCTGGCCATGGAAGCCAGTGCCCTGCACTCATGGCACCCAGCTACCCGAGAAACTCCTGAAGTCACCACTGCAGACCCTTACAAAGCTGCAGGGCCTGGACCCCAAACGCCAGCACTGGCCTGGGAAGAATCCCTTCCTGACCCCAAACTTGGCAGTAAACCTGACCCCGAGCAGAGGAGCAAGGACTCTAACTGGGAACCTCTGGGTATCCACATACTGGCTGGAGCAGGTCTTTCTTCCCTTGGCTGGCAAACCCAATGCTCCCAAAAGCCTCAGAGCTCTCCCAAGGACACAATATGGCCAAAGGACACTTCCCTAGGACTGATGGCACAGACAGGACACCGGTTTCTGTCCCTCCAGGTGGGACATGCAGGGCTGGAAGCTAGGAGGGAACCAGCACAGTGTCAACAGCTCCAACCTGGAGTCAAACCCTGAGCCATGTGGTCAGGGCCCTGGCATCGCTGCAGGGCGCCGACAAAGTCAGGGTCTGCAGAGCCTAACCTGCTGGGCAGAGGGGCCAGAGCAAAGCACCGCAGGGGGGAGGGGGCACCCGCAGGGAATCAGAGCCACAGGTGCACCAGTTCCTTCAATGCTTTATTGACTAGTGATTTGTACAGTTATTTACAGACAGTGAAGCCAGCCCTTGCGCAACTCTGCGAGCCTGGCTGCAGCTTCCCGAGCTCTGCCATTCCCCACTAGCCCCAGCGGGAAGAAGCCATCAAACCAACCCATGCAAGGGCCCCTGGGCTGCGTCACCCCTGAGCACATGCTGGTTAGCCAAGATCCTGCTTGCATCCAGCCAGCCCTGAACTCACGCTACTGGGTTGACTGGAGCCCCAGCAGTGCTCTGCCCCTGGGTACGGCCTCAGAGCAAACATTGTACCCCCCGCAACCCCCCCGCACAACCCTCCATGGGGGCACCCCCTGCTCTGCTCTGCTCCTGACAAGGTTAGACCTGTTGGCAGCCCAAAAACCCAGTGTGAGAGGTGACCGAACAAATGCCCAAACAGTCCACGGCACAGGCAGGGCAGCTGCTGCTCCACTCTCCATTGAGCAGCTGCCAGTTCCCTGCCTTGCTGACAGTGCCTCCCAAAGGGCTGTTCCCAAGGGGCTTTAGCACGGGACGGGGTGAGGTGCTGCCAGCCACCCACTGCTGTAACTCAAAACAACACACACCAGGAGCCAAACACATGCTCACGCCACCCGCTAGCAACAGCCAGTCCTGTCGCCCCACTACCTTCCCCCACTAGGACCCCAGGGGCTGCACATGCCATGTCTGATAGCAGAGAAGTCAGGAAATGAAGGGATGAAAGGGAGGAAACCGCAGCCCTGTAAGCAGCTGGTTTCTCTCGGCCCACTCATCTTACTGGGGCACAGCACAGGTTGCTAGCGATGCTATTTCTGAAGGGCGGTTGTTCAGAGGAAGCAACCACAGCAGCCCTGCTGCCCTTTAGACCCTGCAGACAAGGGGACTGCTCAGAGAAAGCAACAGGTCACAAAAAGGGACTGTGTGGGGGCTTTTCAAGGGGGAAGAGTGCCAAGACGCAGCTTTTCCTGGATGAGGGCTCTGGGCTCTACCAGTCCTACTTCAGGGCAGCTCCCACTTAGCAGGCACCCAGGGAGGGCAGGGGAAGAGAAGCTTTGTGACCAGTTCTGCTGGAAGACCCTTATGCTCCACAGACACAGCCTGGCTTCATAGTGGGGAGTCAGTTTTGGGGGGGGGGGCCAGAGCAGGCAGAGAAGGGAAAACAGGATGAGACTGGCCCTGTGGGCAGCCTGATCCTTGGGCGCTCTGCAAACCCATGCCTGCTTCCAGTCTCAGCATGCACAGGGAGGCAGCGCCTGAGGTCACCAGCTGCAGGTTCAATGCAAGAGTCTCTCCACTGTGCCTTAAGCTCCTGCAAATCTGCCCCAGGTTCAGAGGGCTGCCAAGACCTCAGACCCAGCTGCAGAAGGACAACCCCTGGGTAGGAGAGCAGTGCAGGGCCTTCACATCCTAAAACAAACCCCTACAGCTCTATGCAGGCACCAGCCGAGAGGGAATGCAGACCTGCCTCCAGGCAGCAAGTGAAGCAGCGTGCAGCTAGCTCAGTCTGCAGCGAGGAGGTCACAGCCCGTGTGCTAGGACCTAGAATTCAGCTTTGCTGTGCTGCAGGCTGGGCACCACCTCACTGAAGCCAAGCGGTGGCTCCAGCTCTGCAAGGAGGGAACCTTCGTGTCCCAGCAGCGCTCACTAGGCCAGGGCACCACGGCCGTGGGGACTCTCGGGTACATATGAGCAGGAAAACAGCTTCAGCACTGGCAGCGAGGCACACACTTCTACAGTTCAGCCGGGGGTGGGGGGCTCCTTCCTATGACTTTTAGCTCAGCTCCGAGCATGCAAAGAGCAGTGACAACCTGCTCTGCACCTGCTGCCCACCCCACCACGCTCTGGCTCTCACCAAACCAACGCAGCAGCAGCACAAGCTGAGCCCCCGCAAGTGTCTCTGCTCAGAATGCAGCTCCAGACAGCAGCAAGCAGACTGCACCAGCAAGGGCTGCACCCAGGGAAATGTCTGCATTTCAGCCACTGCTGGGACTGAGCTGCAAAGCAAGAGGTGTGAGCTGAGCTGGCTGAGCGCTGCACAGGCCTAGCTGGGGCAGGTGGGACAGAAGAGCAAGCTTTGGGGCATGGAGAAGAGTGGCTGCCTGCCTGTAAGAGGGCCAGTTTAGAGGGAAACCTCACGTGCTAAAGAACTCACAGGAGGCTGGGAAAGCACCAGGCCTGACTGCTGCAGGAGCGCAGGCCCTCAGATGCCAGCTCAGGCCCTGGCAGGCACCGCAAACAAAGGGAAGGGGCAACTGTTACAACTTATACCACTCACATGCAGCCCGAGCGAGTCAACACCAGAGTTCAAAACACTCTCCTGAGACAGCGGTTAGAACAGAATGATTTAAAGGTGTCAAAATGCTGCATCCTGGCTGCACTGCGCTCGGGAGCAGGGCTCTGTGCTCCCCGGCGGTCCATGCTCTATGACTCTACCAGTGCAGACCGGACGGGGGAGTCTTCTCATCCTTGTTGCTTTCCAGGGAGAAGGGGGGGATTCGCACATCGAAGTGGGAGCCGTCGGGCTTCTCAAAGCGAAAAGTGCCCCTGCAAGACCAAGGCAAAGACCAGACAGGCCGGCCTGTGAACACAAGCTGTCACGGGGCAGCAGTGCAAAAGCATCAGCTCTGCCCCACCCTGGGGCTGTGGCTGCCTTCTAGGTCCAGCCCAGTGGCAGGAACACATCCCTGTACCAGGGCAGCTCACCTGTGACAAGGCTTTTGGGCAGTTCAGTGCATTCTCAACACACAAAGGCTGCACCACTCCATGGGCTTCTAGGAGGGGCAGGCACAACTCAGGTAGCCTGCATCAAGTTTTAGCATGAGTTAGGCAACCACAGGAGAGCAGGGCAGGACCCATCTCAATCGAGTCTGCCAACAGGTCCAGTCATGCAGTAATTTCCTAGCCATGGCACTAAGACCAGCAGCCTGCAGCTGGGTAGTCAGCGAAAGGCTGGCTGTGCTGATGCAGACTGGCTTCTGCAGGGTCTCTTTGTGGACACAGGGTTTCACAGCCTGGCTCTTGGGAAAGGTGACAGTGCAGTAAAGCCAGGCTCCCTACAAGCAGCCCGAGGGCAGAACTTGCTATGCATGCATCAGCCTGAAGCCACGACCTCTGCATGCAGTACATGGTGGAGAACCAAACACAGAGCTGGAGCCTTTCCAGCTTCCTCCTGCTTTCTGAGCCTGGCACACACTCGGGTAGAGGGAACCAGTTTACAGCTCACGCCAACCTCGGGCCAGCAGAGACTTCTGGAGTCACCGGGGACTAGCCTGCAGATAGGCAGCCACTAGTCTGTTCCCACCCCT